TGGCACCCATATTGGATGCTGGTGCTATAGATGATGGCTTAACCGACTACGCCACAGCACCAGCTCCAGAACTTACCATTATTTAGGCTTGGATTTCGATGCTTGAGTAGCCATCCAAAATATGTTGGTCACTAATTCATTGAATCAATTAACACAACAATAATAGCCAGTACTTATTGAATCCTTACTATTTGCCGGGTACGATGGTATACACTTTATGCTCCTTATCCATCATATTAATATCTTAGATGTGGATACTATCATTATTCCCATTTTACCAATGTGGATTTTGAGGCACAGAGAGATCCAATGCCTTATCCAAGGTTATCAGTTAGTAAACCACAGAGTCAGGATTTGTTAGGCCATTTGCTCTGAACCCCTATGCTATGTGCCATCCACCGTGCTAGCCTCTGGGAAAAGAAAACACAACAGGTACCTCATCCTCAAGGAGTTCATAGTCTGTTAGGAGAGAAGAAGTGTATGCAAATTATTGCAGTGCAGTATAATAAATACTACAATAAAGATTTGCAGTATGTTTGTATCTCATAAGGAATGCAGTACACAGTTGATGAAATTTCAAAGAGGAGAACTGTGAAGTGAAATTTAAAGGATGAGAAGGCATTTTTAGGCAGTTTAATGACACTAAAGAATATTCCAGGTAGTGAGAACATGTGTGCAAAGGCTAAGGGAGCTGCAGGTTGAGGTGGGATTCTGGGAGGGGAGGACAAGGAAAGGAGGAATGCAATGATATGCCAGGGAAGTGGATGATGTGTGGAATTCCAGACATTTTTAGTATTTTTTTAAAAAAATATTTATTTATTTATTTATTTAAAAGGCAGAGTGATAGAGGGGGACAGAAGCTGACAAGGATGGAGGTAGAGGAAGATGAGGGTGAGAGAGAGAGAAAGAGAGAGAGCTCTTCCTGAACTATTTCACTTTCCAAATGGCCACAACAGCTAGTGTTGGATCAGGCTGAAGCCAGGAGTTTGGAAATCCATCCTGGTCTCTGACATGGTTGACAGGGGCCCAAGTGCTTGGGTAATCCTCTGCTGCCCTCCCAGGTGGATTAGCAAGAAGCTGGATGGGAATCAGAGCAGCTGGGACTCAAGCCAGCACTCTAACAGGGGACATGGGTGTCACAAGCAGTGGCTTAACCTGCTGTGTGACAACTCTGGCCTCTATTTTTTTGATAGGCATTCCTGTCGGCTTACTTATTCAAAGAGGAAACAGTTGCTCCACTAAATAGAATTTACTATAAAATGTAATAACTTTTCATAAAAGTATTAAAAATTAAAGGAGTTTCCCAATCATTATTTTCACTTTGGGGATATCACTTTTAGGTCATTGTGCCTGTGAACATTTAAAAAATATAATTTCCACTTATTACCCTGTATTAAAATACCTTTTGGGTACACTGGAAGAGATTGATAAACTGGGTAGTTTTTATCTGGCTACTAGAATCATCATCGTGGTGTTCAGAGAGGGAACAACAAGGTAGGAAACATATATTACAGAATGAAATCTTAAGGCTTCTGTCTATGTGGTAAAGATTACATAAACCTTGAGAGAAAAATCTCTACTTAGGGAGGGCACCTAGCTTAAAAATGAGGCCTCACCTAAGCCCTCTGAGTGTCACAGGCCTGTCCATTAAGGATTAAGGATCCTGGGCTGGGGGCAGTCCAGTGGAGCAAAGACTTTCTTTAGGGTTTTTCTCTTTTAGTCTTTAGACCTTCCCTCCTCTTTCCCAATCACTGGCAGAGACTAGAGATTGGTAGCACCGTGTCTAGTATGAGTCCATTAAGACAATAAGATAATCCTAAGAGAAACAAAAATTCTATACAATAACAATGTTAGGATTACAGGTTAAGATGCTCATGTCCCAGACTGTAGGACCTACGTTAAGCTCTCCGCTCCAGCTCCTGACTCTAGTTTACTGTCAATGCCCAAACTGAAATGTAGTGGTGATGGCTCAAGTCTTTGGGTATCTGATACTCACATGGGATAGTGTTCTCAGCTCCTAGCTTTGGCCCTGGCCCTGGCCCAGCTCTGGCCCAATTCAAGCTTCCTGCTAATGTGCATCCAGGAAGACAGCCAATGATGGCCCAAGTAATTGGGTTATTTGAGGAATGAACCAGTGGGTAGGAATTCACTTTCTTTCTCTATTGCTATCTCTGTGTATCTCTCTGCCTCACAAATATCTAAATAAAAGTAAATAAATAAATAAAAAGGATTTGTGGGACCGGCACCAGCATCCTAAATGGATGCCAATTCGAATCCCTGCTGTTCCATTTCCAATCCAGCTCCCTGCTAATGTGTCTGGGAAAGCAGTGGAGGATTGCCTGAGTCCTTGGGCTCCTGCACCCATGTGGAAGACTAAGAAGAAGCTTCTGGTTTCTGCCTTTGATCAGCTCAGCTCTGGCCATTGTGGCCATTTGGGGAGTGAACCAGAGGATGGAAGACTTCTCCCTCTGTCTCTATCTCTCTGTGTAACTCTGTCAAATAAATAAAATAAATCCTTTTAAAAAAAGGATTTTTGCTATCACAATTTTCCCATTATGTTTGGGTAATTTTTATTTTTTTAAAGATTTATTTATTTGAAAGTCAGAGTTATGCAGAGAGAGAGAGAGAGAGAGAGAGAGGTCTTCCATCTGATGGTTCACTCCCCAATTGGCTGCAACGGCCGAAGCTGCGCTGATCTGAAGCCAAGAGCCAGGAGCTTCTGGGTCTCCCACGCAGTTGCAGGGGCCCAAGAACTTGGGCCATCTTCTACTGCTTTCCCAGGCCATAGAGGAGAGCTGGATGGGAAGTGGAGCAGCCGGGTCTTGAACTGGCGTCCATATGGGATGCCGGCGCTTGAGGCCAGGGCGTTAACCCACTGAGCCACAGCGCTGGCCCCAGTGTTTGGGTAATTTTTAAAGTGTCTTTTAATGCATTATCATTTACTCATTTTTTATTTTGATATTTAGGGTATTTCCAATCTTTATTATAGATTATGCTTTAATAAACATCTTTGTACACGTAGTTTTTTTTCCTCATATTACAAATTCCCAGGTGTAAGAGGAAAAAAAAATACCATCTTTAGAGTTTGTCTTATGTTTTATCATATTGCTTTCATGCATGACCAACTGACTCACCTCTTTACCAGTACTGAGTCTTCCATATGATACAACAAGATGATTTGCTAATATAACAAGTAAAACCCTGCATGTTTATTTTGATTTGTCATTCTTTGAGGAGCTATAAGGATCATCATTTCATGGATACTCTCATTCTATATAAAAGAAATATTTCAAATGTGGCTTAAGGCAAATCTACAAGTTTTCGCTTGAAAGCATAAGGCTTTAGAATTCATGTAGTATTGTCTTTAAAAAAAAAAAAAAGATTTATTTGGGCTGGCGCCGTGGCTCACTTGGCTAATCCTCCGCCTGCAGCGCTGGCACCCCAGGTTCTAGTCCCGGTTACTCCTCTTCCAGTCCAGCTCTCTGCTGTGGCCCAGGAGGGCAGAGGAGGATGGCCCACGTGCTTGGGCCCTGTACCCACATGAGAGACCAGGAGGAAGTACCCGGCTCCTGGCTTCAGATCGGCGCAGTGCCAGCCATACAGCCATTAGGGGAGTGAACCAACAGAAGGCAGACCTTTCTCTCTGACTCTCTCTCGGTCTCTCTCACTGTCTAACTCTGCCTGGCAAAAGAAAAAAAAAATTATTTATTTATTATTTGAAAGTCAGAGTTGCAGAGAGACAGGGAAAGACACAGAGATCTTCCATCTGTGGGTTTAATCACCAGATGGCTACAACAGCCAGGGCTGTGCCAGGGCAAAGCCAGGACCCAGGAACTTCTTCTGGGTCTTTCACGCGTGTGACAGGGGCTCAGGCACTTCGACCATCCTCTGCTGCTTTCCCCAGGCCATTAGCAGGGAGCTGGATCAGAAGTGGAGCAGCTTGGACTTGAACTGGTGGCCAAATGGGATGCTGGCTTTGCAGACAGCAGCTTTACTGGCTATGCCAGAATGCCAGCCCCTCCAGTATCGTTAAATACTTAAACAATTAAAAACATGAATCCATGAATTTAAATGAGCAGTTATATCATTCTAGAGTTTCCCTGATCCTTCTCAGAATTCAAAGTTATGTGAGTATTTACTGTTTTAATCAGTGTAACTTTTTGCTGGGCCCTGGCTTTAATTTGAGATTACTTTTGTTTTTATGCATTGAAACAGTATGTTTATTTTCCCAGGATTGTGAAGGGTTTGAATTTAGTGATATTCAATATAAATTACCAAATAGAAAACTTTTTCAAAATGGTTATTTCAAAACTTTCACATGTATAAGCGGCACTTCTATAAACACCTTTGTATAAGTTACTTCCTTTTTCTCTCTGCATCTGATTTTTTTTCTCCTTGAAATATTATGTCAAAAATGGGATTACTAGGGTGGGCAGGTGATGCAGCAGTTAAGATGCCACTTTGGAAGGCTATGTTGTGTATCAGAATGCCTGGGTTGTACTCCTGATTCTAGCTTCCTGCTCATGTGCATCCTGGACGCCCACATTCCATCCCAGAGTACCTGGGTTTCAGTCTTGGTTTCCCTCTGATTCCAGCTTCCTGCTAATGTCCACCCTGATAAGTACTGGGTGATGGCTCAAGTACTTGTCTCTGCCACCCAGATGGGAAATCTGGTGTCTTGGCTTTGGCATGGCCCATTCTGGCTGCTCCAGGCATTTATGGAGTGAACCAGCGATGGAAGATCTTGCCGCCTTGTCTTTCTCTCTCTGCCTTTTAAATAAAATAACATTAGCATCTTGTTTTCTATTGAAATAGAAATACTTAAAATGAATGCATTAAAAAAGGAGAATCACAATAAGAAAAGCAATAAAACAATTCTGAAAATTATTTTAAATTTCCCTTCAAGTGACAAACTATAATTTACATTTACCAATTATCTTTGTGCTGGTATAACAAAATACTGAACACTGGATCACTTATAAACAAAAAATATTTCTTACAGTTCTGGAGGCTGGATAGTTTAAGATCAAGGTGCTTGCGAGATGTATGTCTGCTGAGGACTGCTCTCCGTTTCCAAAATGATGCTTTCCTCCTGAATCCTCCAGGTAGGAGGAACACTGTGTCCTTTCATGGTAGAAGGGATTTAAGGGTCAAAAAACAACCAAGCCAAAAAAGGGTGAACACCATCCATGAAACCCTTTTTTAAAGCCACCTAATCCCATTCTTGAGGGCTCTGCCCTTATGACTCAATCACTTCCTAAGGCCACACCTTTTAATTCTGTTGCATTGAGGATTAAGTTTCAATCTGAATTTTGGAGGGGAAAAACACTGGAGCCATAGCATTGATCACTAGAACAACTGCATAAAGTTAGAGGTGGATTCAGAAGTCTTTTAAGTTCAACTTCATATTTTAGTTTCCTTATATGTAAATACATAGAGTAGGAGGGTTGCCATGGAAACTAAAATGAGATAATGTATGTAAAACACTTAGCTCATTGTCTTGTGCATAGTAGATTACCAATAAATATTAGTTATTATTAGAGTATAACTGTTGGAATTAGTACACACCAGATTGAAAGGTCATATTTCATTCAATCATTTATCTCAATTTATTTGGTATTGATAACGCCAGACATTGTGCTAGAATCTGGTTGTAAAAGTGCATAAAATTCATCCCTGCTTTCATGGAGTTTGAGTCCTAAGACTCAGACAATAAAGGTAACAGGTTAGATGGTGATTGCATTATGGAGAAGTTAAAAAGTAGGTTGTGTGTGTGGGTGTTCCTGTCGGGTAGTCAGGATTGTGCTCCCTTACATACTGACATTTGGGCAAAGGCTTTAAGGAAGAGAGGGAGAGGCTTTAAGGAATGAGTCCCAGGCATAGTTTTATTTGAAACTACGTCTAAAATTTTCAGGGTAGGAATCATTCTTTCAAGCTTGGTAGCACTGAAAAAAAAAAAAAAAAAACAACATATAGGCCTGAAACATGCTGAATTCATATTTAACAGACGTTCAACAGATATTGAAACAGATTGTTAGGTGCTGGATTAGATGTTTTCATTGGCATGGTTAGAACCACAGGTTTCTTTAATTTTTCACCTAAAAAAAATTAAACTTTTTGAGCAGATAACACATTCACATGACACAAACATCAGAGTACTGAAAAGTATTAAATAAAGTCTTTATTTCTCTACCGTCCCTTTCATCACACTTCTCACTGCTCCCAAAAGATAACAACATAGTTTTTCCTTATTCCTTTCAAGGAATTTTAAAAGAAACACATATATAAGCCAATAAATGTTTTACTTAGAGAAAGACACGAAGCATCCAGAAATATCCTCCCAGGAGCTTGTATCAATCCTGTCTTCCTCTTGGTTCTCAAGTTTGGCCACCCATATTCCACTGCGGTCCGGAAGCCTCAAAACCGGAAGTGCCCTGACGCGGGCGATAGTGAGCCGGAAGTACTGGTAGGCGCCGGAGGCTTTCCCTGAGGTAACAGAGCGTTCGCGAACTTCTTGTTGTCTGTTTCAGAAGCGGCCCTAATTTCTCCACCATGGGATTTTGTCCTGCGCCGCTGACTGCCTAACCTGGTTTCTGGCTCTGGCTGATGTGGGGTCCGCCTTGCCCCAGTCTGCTGTCAAGTTGTGTCTAGAATCTTCCACGTTGCTGACTTGAGGTTAGCCCTCAGCCTTTGCTTGGGCTTCCCTTCGCTTCTCCTGGAGGCTGTGGGTCAGTAATGTGGGTCTTGGCTCTTCATTACAACCAACCGTCTTGTGTGCCTGGTTTTTTGTCTCTGTTAAGCCCTGTATTTGCGTTATGGATGCAGTGTGGTAACATTGGTCATTGTGGCAGAATTTTCAAACAAATCTGACGCTCAAAGCGTGCAGCATTTCCAGCTGTGGGTAATTGACTTTCTTTAGTGGATGTTGTTCTGCATAATGTTTTCAGTGTAGGGCGAAAATCATTCAAAGCGCAATGAGCTGTCGCCGACGTGTGTGAATCCCCAAGGAAATGTCTTCCCTTTTTAAAATTCTGGTAACTTTGTCCCCTGTGAGGTGCCTTGCACAAGCAAAGTGGAATTTTCCAGGGAATGAAGTGACTCATTTGCTCATCAGGATTAGCCGTGTCGAATTGTTGATTTGAATCATTCATGGCATTGCTTCACTCTTCACACTGCTTTTGGAAATAGTCACTGATAACTCTTAAGGCATTTACGGAAACCTGTATCATCGCTGGCTTCCATTTGGGAAGAAAATGTAAAGATTCCACTAAGAATCTTTCCCTTAGAAGATAAATTGAAATCCTCGAACTTGATAATTTCCTGTTTGTCTCAGTTGTAAATAAATGCCTGTGGTTGTCTTTGGTGCTGCAAAAGAAAAACCCCTTGCTGAACTATTCTAGATTGAAAACCAGCAGATTCTATGAGGGTGGAATTTGCTCTATAATTTAGTTTTTTTTTTGTTTTTTGTTTTTTGACAGGCAGAGTGGACAGTGAGAGAGAGACAGAGAGAAAGGTCTTCCTTTGCCGTTGGTTCATCCTCCAATGGCCGCCACGGCCGGCGCACCACGCTAATCCGATGGCAGGAGCCAGGTACTTCTCCTGGTCTCCCATGGGGTGCAGGGCCCAAGGACTTGGGCCATCCTCCACTGCACTCCCTGGCCACAGCAGAGAGCTGGCCTGGAAGAGGGGCAACCGGGACAGAATCCGGCACCCCGACCAGGACTAGAACCCCGTGTGCCAGCGCCACAAGGCGGAGGATTAGCCTAGTGAGCCGCGGCGCCGGCTTTATAATTTAGTTTTCTCTAGCCATTTCTTAAGCAATTAGAGTGTTCAGAATAACCTTTCCTGATTTCAGGTGCGGCTTGTGGTAGTTAGCGAATTTTGTAAAAACCTGGATTTCCCATTTGTAAAGTGTGCTAATTTAGTGTGAGGAAATATTTTAATCCTTTTACTACTTCATACCGTGTGCCAGCAAGGAACCTAAATATGGCATAGTGGCCTAAGCCACCTTGTGGAGTCTGGACTACTCTGCTTCCCTTCCTGCTTCCTGCTAATGCATCCTGGCAGGCAGCAAATAATGCCACAAGTACTGGGGCCCTTGCCGCCTACATGGAGAACCTGAATGATGTTCCTGGCTCCACGGTCCGATCTGGCCCAGTCTTGGCTGTTATGGGCGTTTGGAGAGTGAATCAGTGGATCAATATGGGTGTGTCTCCCTGCTGTCTGTCACTCTGCATTTCAAGTAGATAAAAATAAAAAGCATATTTTTAAAAAAACCATAGTGCCCACTAGGCGGCAGCATAGTGTTTTTGGTTTGTCTTAATTGTATTGGTGCTGTGATAGTATTATTCTGATAAGTAGATATATATGTCAAATACGTGTTACATGTTAGAACCTGGACTAAATGATTTATGCACATTATCTAATTTAATCCTAAAAAAACAAACCCCAAAGCCTAAGGCATAGGTATTCCCATTATTTGCATGCCACATGAGGAAACTATGGGAAAGAAATTTCTTAAGAATGCAAGGCCAATAACTACATAGCCAGTACCTGATAGAGGTGAGTTGAAACCAAGGTGCTTACCTACTACTTAATGGTAACCAAATTAAAGTTCTTGTAAGTTTGACTAAATTGTGAAGAGCCTGCAGTTAAGATGAGAAATCTTCTTGTGGGTATTCTGAAGGAGGTGAAAATTAAACAGGGGTTTTGCATCATGTGCCTCAAGATGTTTTGGAATACATGGTTTCCAAAAGGCAGTACTTCATATATTCTGTTTCAGGGAGTGCTAGTCTTCTGAGATGCTTAAAATTTTTTTTTTTTTAAGATTTATTTATTTATCCATTTGAAAGTCAGAGTTACACAGAGAGAGGAGATGCAGAGAGAGAGGTCTTCCGTCCGATGGTTCAATCCCCAGATGGCCGCAACAGCTGGCTGTGCCGATCCAAAGCCAGAAGCCAGGAGCCTCCTCCGGGTCTCCCACATGGGTGCAGGGGCCCAAGGACTTGGGCCATCCTCCACTGCTTTCCCATGCCATAGCAGAGAGCTGGATCAGAAGAGGAGCAGCTGGGACTAGAACCGGCGCCTACATGATATGCCGGTGCTTCAGGCCAGGGCGCTAAACCGCTGTGCCACAGTGCCGGCCCCGAGATGCTTTAATTTTTAAAAAAGAGTTCTTGTGGCAAGAAATACTCCTGGAATTCATTAAAGATAAAATGTCCTGCAGTAAAGGAACATGTTTAGCCCAATGTCTTTTTGAACTCATAGCATTCTTAACCTTTTTAAACTACAGCTCACATTAAGAAATATATTTTATACACAGGCCAGTATAAATATATCCATATACATCTGAGATAAAATACACATGAGGCAGTCAACTCAAACTTTACCATGAGCAATGTGCTCTTATATTGTGTATTTTAGTTTTATCTAACCTAGGCTTTCATTAAAAAAAAAAAAAAAAATCCCTGGTCAGGACCTATCACATTGATTTCTTGACTCACAAGTAAATCACAGAGTGTATTGTAGGTTTATTGCATTAGACTATGGATTTTAATATTTTTGTGAATTATTAATGGAAGACAGTTTAAGAAATTGTGTAAGGGCTATAGTTGATGGAAGCCATGGATGTCATGGTATGTATTTTTGGTGTCAGATTATGATGTTCTATCAGTTCTGTTAACAGTTGAATGAAAACTTTCTAAATGGGGAATTATTCCTTTTTTTTTTTTAAGATTTATTTATTTGAAAGGTAGAGTTAACAAAGAGGCAGAGGCAGAACAAGAAGGGGGAGGGTGGAGAGGGAGGGGGGAGGGGGAGGGATCTGCTGGTTCCCTCCCCACGTGGCCTCAATAGCCAGAGCTGAGCTGATCCAAAGCCAGGAACATGGAGCTTCTTCCAGGTCTCCCACGTGGGTGCAGGGACCCAAGCACTGCAGGAGGTGACTTTACCTGCTGTGCCACAGTGCCTGCCCCGGAAATTATTCCTTGTAATAATTCAGGCTAGTAGTGAAGTAAGAGCATAGAATAATTTTGTAGATTAGAATTTCCCAAACCGTGTCTTCTGGGGACTATATGTTCCCCAGATTTGGTTTGCCTATTATTACGAATTTATGAAATAAAATGTTCCACCATCAATGTAAACTTGAAAACTACGTGTTAAAGTTAAATAAGTTCTAAC